ATCTTGCTATTGCACTACACTAAGTGTCTATTCATCATTAAAGGAAATGTTGGTGAATAAACCCAACTGTACTTAGTTTAATCCTTTCAATCAAAATAAAAGAATATGTTGTGTAGATGAGTTTTAAAAACATTTCGAATTGAAAAAACTTATTTTTCCTTTTCACTCCGTAGGTGTTCAATTGTTCAAAGACAGATATTCGTCTGGAGAGAATATTTCACCAAGTGAGTAGAACGCATATTACTTACTCTCAGTAACAATAGATTTTTTTCGCATATTTTTCCTAGGGAATAATTAAAAGACAGTTGCAGCGAATAAAATTTTGCTTTTCGACGAAGCCATCAACTAGGCTGTACATTCGTGTATTGATGATAAATGGGTGTGAAAGTTCCAGAATAACTTCCGGTCAAGGGTCGAATTAATAAAATTATAATTAGGAATTAAAATGCCATAATAAACAGGAAGATGGAAAAAACTGAAACAAAGTAGCATCACAATTACTGAGAAAATTGACGCGTTGTGCAATTAAGGGTTAGAAATGTAGAAATAACAAAATATATAGGGTGTTTGGGTAAAAATATAGTGGGATTCCTGGCATTTTCCTTGCATTCCCGGCAGAATATATGGCTTCAAGACTTCGAGTTTCAGTAGTTGTGGTTTCATTATTTTTACAGGATGAGATAACTGACCTCAAGCGCCCAACATGCCCTCTTTCCAAGCCTGATGAGATTTGGCATTGTGCAGGTCCAAGAATCGAATCCACATCGTGTTTATGGTTGTTGAGCATTCTGGAATGTCTAATCAAATCATATAAAAGGGTTATATTGATTTATAAATTTCTCAGAAAAGTAATGGTGCCTACTGATCCTGAAGTTATGGCATAACCTTAAAGCTGAATTATGGAAATAAGAATAGAATTTGTGCATTGTGGTGGTGTATAATTCCATTGTGGATAAAATCTATACCTCACATTTACTATCTTTAAATCCCATATTAAAATATATAGACGGAAGGTGTGGCAATGGAATTACCTGTGCCTCTAATCGTAGCAGATATCCTTATGAATAGCTGGGAAAATACTGCTCTTAATACATTTAATCCCATTCCAAAGACGCTGTGGAGATGTTTGGATGAAACTTTGATGGTGTTAAAAACAGAACATATCTCTGGCTTCTTCATAGACATTAACTCTCCAGTAAAGCAAATAAACTTCACATTTGAACCGGAAAATGAACAAGGAGAATTACCTATGTTAGATTGTAAAAATAAAACGAATAGGAGAAGGTACACTGCACACTAGCCTTTACAGAAAGCCAAAGCATTTGAGTGCATATTTAGACTTGAATTCATCTCATCCGTTATCAGTAAAGACAGACTGAGTTACGTCACTAACAAACCGAGCGGTAGCACTAAAAAGTACAAAAGAGACGTAAATGATGAAATGAAACAGACTGAAGAGGCGTTAGTGTCATTTAAATATCCTATAAAATTCGTTAAGAAGATCAGAAAAGGTTGAGAGCAAAATTAAAATAATGGAGGAACTAGTAATGATAACATAAACAAGAAAGAATATAAGTCATCTATAGTCTAACCGCATAAGGCGGGGACATCTGAGACCATACGTAGGATTCTTATTTATTTATTATTATTGTATCCTTTAGTTCCTAGAGGAACATAGGGCTTCAGCTGCGCACCTCCATTGACTTCGGTTTTTTGACAACTTTTTCACCCTGCTCCAGGTCTGCCCACATGCTTTCATCTCCTCTTCACATGACCTCCTCCAAGTCACCCTTGGACGACCAACTCGCCGCCTCCCTTTCGGGTTCCACTCGAGGGCTTGTCTAGTGATGTCACTTGTTGGTTTCCTCAGCGTATGGCCAATCCATCTCCATTTCTTTCTGCCTATTTGTTTCACAATCGGTTCCTGATTGGTTCGCTCCCAGAGATCCCTGTTGCTGATCTTTTCTGGCCATCTGATCTTGAGTATTGAGCGGAGACAGTTGTTAATGAAGGTTTGAAGTTTGTTTGAGATGCTCTTTATGACTCGCCAAGTCTCTGATCCGTATAGTAGCACTGACTTCACATTGGAGTTGAAAATCCGGATCTTATTTTTGATGCTGAATGCTGTTGACCTCCACACAGATTTGAGAGTAATGAAAGCTTGTCTTGCTTTTCCGATTCTGGCTTTGATGTCCTCGTCAGTTCCGCCTGTAGTTGAGACGATGCTTCCCAGGTAGGTGAAGGAGGTTGTTTCTTTCAGGTTCTTCCCATTTATGCTTATTGTTGTCTGTTGTTGTTGTTGCTGTTGATGTTGGCTAGGAATCTTCATCATCTCTGTTTTATCTATGTTCACGTGAAGTCCTATCTTTGATGCTTCTTCTGCCAACTTGTTACTTTTCATTTGCATATCTTCCAGTTTATGGGAAATCAGACATATATCATCGGCGAAATCCAGATCCTCCAAGTCTTTTGTGTCAGTCCATTTTATGCCTGTTCCCTCGTTGGTTGACGTTGTCTGTCGCATTATCCAATCGATTGCAATCAGGAAGATCATTGGTGATAGTAGACAGCCTTGCCTCACTCCCGTCCTCACTTCGAAGGCTTCCGTAAGTTTCCCGTTGTGGATTACTTGGCATGCAGCATTGTCGTATAACTGTTGGATGAGGTGTATAATTGTCGATGGGACCCCGTAGTAGCGAAGTAGTTTCCAAATGACCTCTCGATCGACGCTGTCGAAGGCCTTTTCAAAGTCGATGAAGTTGAGATAGAGAGGTGACTGCCATTCCAAGCTTTGTTCAATGATGATCCGTAGAGTGGCGATTTGATCAATACATGATTTGTTTCTCCTGAATCCAGCCTGTTCCGGACGAAGTTTTTCATCTAGGGCTTGTTTGATTCTCTCCAGGATGATGCGACTTAGTATCTTGCTTGGAATGGACAGAAGCATAATTCCCCGCCAGTTTTTACATTGACTTAAGTCTCCTTTCTTTGGAAGTTTGAATAAGTAACTGTTCTTCCAATCCTCGGGTACTTTGCCCTCTTTCCACACCTTCTCCAGTAGTGGTGTCATCAAGTCCGCTGTTGTCTCTGGGTCTATTTTCAAAGCCTCTGCTGGGATTCCATCTGGTCCCGGTGTTTTCCCAGTTTTAAGCATCTTGATTGCATTCAGGACTTCCGTAGGGACGTAGGATTCTTAATAAAACAGGAATCAGGGTGGCATTTAAACCTACAAACTCACTCGAGTAGGACAAGTTTTCTAAGTTAAAGGACCCTCTCAGTTGACCCAATTAGACAAAATAATATAATCTACAAAATACCTTGCAATGACTGTGAGTGTGGTCGACCACATAGGTCAAACTAGTAGATCGATGGTAGTCAGATTGTCATGACATAAGAATTTAGCTAAGGTTAGAATGATTGACCCCACTCGCGAAGATAAGTAATTCAGAAAAACACTCAGCAATTGCACTGCATGCATCAACATGCAACCACACGATAGGGTGGGAGAGGGTTAAGATTCTAAGAAATAATATATGTAGGTGGAGAGAGAGAGATTGATTACTGAATCCTTGTTCATCGAGTCTACACCCAACATGTGTAATAGGAATAACACTCATCACTCATGCCGGAAACATGGAAAATACTACTACCAATCATATCAAGCGATGAAAAATAATAGAATTATATAAACGAAGGTAGAAAGTTGTGTGAGTACCTCGACATGATTATGAGGCATAAATTATGCTCGAAACTTGGTCATCAGTAAATATTACTGTATAACACTGTGTGACTTTATCAAAATAAATTTTATCCACAAATGATTTGGATGAGAGAACTTTAAATTTCAAGGACACTACATCTTTTATCCGTAGTAACAGGGGCGCTCCGGCCAAGCCCCTTTTAAATCCGAGAGAAAACAAAGTCAAACAAAGCCTATAACGGTAAAATATACTTTCGCGTCATTTACTTTATCGGAAAATTAATCCGACGATTGTAGTTGTGTGTGTGAGCACAAATGTTAAGTTCCAATTTTTTTGTTGCTTGACATTTCACCATAACAATAGGCGACATGAATATATTGTGACATCTGTCTTGTACAGACATTATTTCTACTATTTTTTTTACTTCAGATGCCTTCAAATTGTTTAGAAAGTGTAGTGTAACTCTGTTGTACAACAGACGAAGCCCAACATACCAAGAAGGCTTCCGCTGTATAACAAAACATTTTGCTAACAGTAAAGCTGTTGAATAGATTTAAAAATTTGGGAACTACCTCTAGCTTTTATCACACTCAAATTCAAGGGGAATCGAGAGAGAAGTTAAGTAGTATTGAAAAATAGATTTTCGCAGAGAAAAATATTTCACTACTAAATTCACTATACTGAATTACATCAGCGATTTTTGAAAATACTTAACTTTACTACTTATAAGTAGACAGACACGTTTATCAAAAATTATGTTAGTGAATATATGAAATACTAGAGATTTGTAGCTCAGGTGGATGATTTGCAATTTGTAGTGTTCTCTGAGCTGGTCGGTTTAGTTGGGGAGCTAACAGTGGAATCCATGACGAACGTTTTGTTTTGCTTGCAGCTCATTAGAAGACCATTAACAGAACAACATTTTCTCAGGTCATGATGTTTCTACTCCAACTCAATCAAACATGGCATCTATCATCGAAAACGCCACTAGCTCAGTAGATAACTCTGATGACAGTTAATTTAATTTTCACAGATCAAGGCTGGCTGGGATCATGTCTATCATTCCGACCTAGAAATTAATTCTGTGTCGCCTTCAGTGACTTGGGAAACAAGTTTACTCTGAATTGTGGACAAATAATTTAATGTACTCCGAACAATTTAAATAGACATAACGATATTACTTCCTTTTCCTAATTTATGAAGTAAAATTAACCTCGTTTTGTAGGTTATTTTAAAGACGATACTTTCGAAGAAGAATGATCATTTAGTTTTACGCTGATTGAATTTTTACTTTTCAAGGTTCAACATTGTGTATTCTCTTTAAATGGTTTCCCAAATTTGGCAACGATGATATTATTTTGTCACAAAGTTTATGATTGGTTAGCGCTTGATGAATCTCACATAATTCTACTGCATGCTGAAGGTGAAGAAGCCAAAGTTCGCCTACTTCTTCTAATTCTCGCACTGAATGCATTCTATGGATCTCTTGACAAGTAAGTTAAGTTATAAATATAGGCAATATTATTTTGCAAGCTTAACTTAAGGGAAAGTTTCTGCCTTAAATAAAGTGCTTATCGAAGGTAACAAGCAAGTTAATTATAATTGTTTCAGCAGTTTATGATGCGCATTCATACAGTAAAGCCTAAATAAATCCAGTTTGTGTGAAGGCGACTTGTAAACAAACAAAAAGAAACATTTCATGTTACAATTAGCCCCACATAACAGCATAAAATTATGAAAACGAAATCTAAAATGTTCAACTTGTGAGCTTATGAAGCATGATTTAGTGTCACAATATACCACGAACTTTGAAGCCATCCAAATAAATACCTCGTAAAAGTTTTACTAATTTATGATTAAATGTCAAATATTTAATCAATATATTACTTATATGAAGGTTTTTTATATCTCCTAATGAATGCGAAACAAAACGATATTGTTTTTATACAATTGGAGGGTGGTGGCTAGCAGTGGAATCCAGGATGCACATTTCGTCCTAATTGGGACTCGTCATCTGGATGTACCTGCATTTCTCAGTGAGTGATGATGTTCCCACCGATGCTCGAAGCCAGTACCCATATGACCCGTTGCACAAGAGGTGGCTCTCGTGGCCCAAGTGGTCTAGTGGATAACGCTTTGGCGTTTGAAACTATGGGTACTGGGTTCGAGCCTCGGTGGGAACATCATCACTCACTGAGAAATGCAGGTACATTCAGCTGACGAGTCCCAAATAGGACGAAATGCGTATCCTGGATTCCACTGCTAGCCGCCAGCCACCAATTGTATACTAACTAAATGCCCGGACATCGTCGAAGCATCTAAACAAGAAGCCGACATGTCGACCTGAGACCAAGCACTTCGGGCCAATCAATCGACGGGAAAATCAAAAATTCAATTCAATGATATTGTTTTTATTGACGTTTCACTATTTAATGCTATTAGCTTTATCAAAGTATTATTAAACCTGAATTAACAAAATCCCAACTTTCATATAACAACCTAATCATCGTTCCTCAGCATAAGGTCATTTTTGCGTTGTCAAGTTGTTCAGTTGATAAAGATAACAAAACCAGGTGTAGATTGTCGGGTTTGTTAAGTGTATAAAATTATATTCAAGAAAAAAAACCCACCTCAATAAATATCTAGACTTCAAATCATCACACCCCATCAGCACAAAAGTATCAGTTGTTTCAAGGCCTCTAAGACGGGCAAACGCCTTGATTACCGATGAGAAAGAAAAGGAGAAAGAAATATCAAACACTAGTAAGACTCTCAAGCAAAACAACTACCCAAAGAGCTTCATCAACAAAATCAGCACTGACATTAAGTATGGTCAAAAACGTATTCCGAAAACATGAGTCTCAACACTTCTCATTTCATATAGGGAAGAGACGTCAGACGATATCAGAAGGGTACTCAATAAGCACGAAGTCGGAGTTTTCTTCAAAACATCATACACACTATGAAACAACCTTGTCCTTATAAAAGACCAAATCCCTAGAGATTCTCTATCTGATTGTGTCTATAAAATAAAATGCTTGAAATGTGATGCGATCTACATCGGACAAACATCTTTAGAGAGAAGTCAAAATCAGAAGAAATGAACACCGTTGAGCATCTGTTCGACCATCGAGAAACCCGGTTGAACTAGAAAAGTTTGAAAAATCATCAGCCATAGGTCTACACGCTATAGAATCAGGCCAAAAATATTGATTTCCACAATATTGAAATTGTCATCCAGAAAAATTTCAGAAATGACAAAAAACATCTCACATCATCAGAGGCACTTCATATTAAATGGAATGCAAATTATCTGAATAGGAATGATGGACTAAAACAGAATGTGACCTGGTTACAACACCCCCTCCCTTATGAAATGACAAAACCAACATGAATGTGATATGCAATATCATTATATAAACACACTCTGTTTTATAATTTTACACACTTATCAAAACCAACAATCTACATCTGGTTTTTTATCTCTACCAACTGACTAACTTGACAACACAAAAACGACCCCATGGTGAGGAACGATGATTAAGTTTTTGTATGAAAGTTGAGATTTTGTAAACTCCGGTTTAATAGTACTTTCTAAAGCTATTAGCATTAAATAGCGAAACGTTAATTAGAACAGTATTGTTTTGTTTTGCATTCATTAGGAGATACAAAATACCTTTATTATGATGAATATCATATACCTAATGCCAAAATTTTTTCAAACTGTTAAAAGTGAAGTTGGTTCGGAGATATATGTTATATTACTCATATCATTATCTTAGTATAACAACGCTACAACACGCTTGGCTGCTACGTATGTCATAAAACTATTCATTTATGATACCGATCGAATATATGAATGATCGTGCAGAATACTTGACTGACAAATAATAATCTACTGAAAAGACCAACCTTGACTATCATCTTTATTTTCCACACTGGCCTTTGTCAAGGACATTTAAAAATAAAAAATTAATTAACCAATAGAATTGCTTACTTAAATCAATACAATTTTAGCCAATAAAAAATCAGGAACAAAAACAGTTATCACATAACGTAGTACTCCAGAAAATCTGTTGTTTTGTCTTTACATACATCGAGGTAAATATAAACGTTGTTCAGACAAAGACAGAGACAGTGTCGACAGCGAAATGACCTGGTCACAATTTGTTGTTTTCGTTTATAATAAAAATAAACAATGATAGGAAAACTACACCGAGGGGAAGGGGGTGGGAAACTTCCATATTTTAGGACAGAGGAAATATAAAACACACAAAGCTAAATATTTCATTTGAGGAGTATTTAGTCAACATAAGAATAAAGGTTCAGGCAATGTGTTATTGGTTCTTTTCAACATTGTTCTTCATGCAGGAACACTACAAAGAGAGATTGTACTATTTTCAAGATAAAAAACTGTAAACACATCAAGTTAAATCTACCAACTGGGAAAATAGTTTTCATAACTTCAGTTACCGCCACTGATATACTGTAGAACAGAAAATGACTCAGCTCTTGCCCATATATTCATAGGTTGTAGTCTCTCTCTATCTCTCTGACAAAAACGAAAAAGTATTAGGACTATGCAATTCATGTATCGAAGTTGTAGATTGACCTTGTGATATGACTGTTAAAGGTGAATTGTGTTCACTACCTTATACCTTAGCTAGTAATAATGTTTGTAAATGATGGTCAACTGTTGCAATGTTCAATGAAACCGAAGGGATAACTTACCTTAAACGGTTATATAAGCTTATTGTGCTTAGGCAATATGTTATACTTATTGGAATACCATTTTATACTAGTAGCACATATGTCATGTTGGAGCCTACAATATTAATGGAATGAAACCCATAAAAAATGCAACTAATATAAAAAGCATAAATAAAATTTGTCAAAGCAAACGTAAGAAGCTAGAGCTTACTTCCAAATGAAATATCTATTACACAGCTTACTTCTACTGTTTTTACGAGTTGATCACGGATTGATATCAGTTAGAGAACCATTGAAAACCAGGGATTACTGGTTCGAACCCCAGTGGGTGCCTACTGCCGATGATTTCCAGACTATGATGAAACATCTATCCAGTACTCCCTGGTTTTCAATGCTTCTCTAACTGATATCGATCCGTGATCAACTTGGAAAAACAATACTAGTGCTTACAAACCAAACCATAGAAAATCACTTCCACTGTAGGATAAAAGTTGACTGACTTAGTTTCAACGTAGAACTTCGCACGGAAGTGTACCATTTCAGGTTGCCACACTCCATATAGCACACACTGGTGGAGGAGAGGAAAAAATTTAAAACACCTATAACGAGCAGGAAACTGAAGGAGAGAGAAGATTAACGTGAAGAAACTTGTGAACTTAATAGATCTAGGTGATTACAAAAGGTGAATTCATCTGTCCCATTGAGAACAGTTTACAGTGATATCACCAACAATCTCAAGTGATTGATTCTTAGAGACTTGAGGACCTCAATCAGCCGGATTCCACCTTCAAATGTGGCTATTTCAAACTAAAAGTGAAAGACTTAATCGACTGATGATAACAAATTTTTAATTTGATCACCTCTGACTCTTCTGAAATCTGATCTTATCACCTCTAATATTGTAGCAACAGAATTCAAGACACGGAAGCCAAGGTATATATTTTGCATTGATCAAACCGTTGTTTATATATATGTACAGCTTACATTCTTTAACCAGTCACATAGCTTGTGATTTCAGTTTACATCAATAAACATAGTATTCTTTTGTTAATACAGTAACCGTGGGAAACGTATTCTGTCTCTAACATCAAATACAATGTTTAAATAGATATATTGTATTCTGTTTCTTGTACCTAATTGAACTGTGGGAATTTGTGGGAATAATACTGCTGTGCAACACATTGTCTCTATCACACCAACACAATATTACTGGACGAGAAGGGAGGTGGCTTAGCATGTGTAACGCGTGTTGTAGCCATCTCAGTGAATGTAGCTTCACAATCTCACCGATGAACCTACCGTCCTCGTTTAACACTCTATATTTGATATAAGTATAAAACTTAAGCACTGTGGTAAAGTATGACTCCATTATGGATAAGATTTTCTTTGATAAGTCGCACAGTGATATTAACTGATGACGTTTCATCTGAGACATCTGAGACTCTATGTAGGATTCTTAATAAAGCAGGAATTAGGTAGGTGGGAGAAATTCAAACATAGAAACTCACTCAAAGACAAGCTCTAGCATAAAAGACCCGATGGACTCAGTTAAACAATATAATTTACAAAATACCTTGCAATGACTGTGAGGTCAACTATATAGGTCAAACTAGTAGATCATAAATAGTGAGATTATCAGAACATTAGAATTTAGCTAAGGTAAGAATGGTTGACCCCAAGACGATGAGTAATTTAGAAAAAAGCTCAGAAATTGCACTACATGCAATAACACAAAACCACACAATAGTGTGTGTGGGAGAAGGTTAAGATTCTAAGAAGTAAT